AACTTTGTCAATATACATGTACAAAACTCTGTCAGGTGGCCTCCTGCACAGGGTACCAAGTTGGGACCAATTGGCTTCCAGGGCATCATCAGTGATGCTGTAGATGAGGTCCCTGGTAATATCAACTGTTAGAAATTTGTAGATGACTTGAGACTAGCAGAAAATCGTCGTTGTGCTCTGACCGATTCAAACGATGGACTGAGTATGATATACTTCACTTAAATCGAAGTAAGTGTCAGGCCCTCCAAATATATTTCAAACAAAATGCACCTGTTCCTACTGTTCTTAAATTAATGTCTGCTCCCTTCAGTATGTTGATCAAGCTAAAATCCACAGTATCTGGATACAGAATAATCTCCACTGGGATAAAAATATTTCTGAGATCTCCGTCAAGGATAACCGTAAATTATACATTCTTCGGTTGCTGAATAAGGTTGGTTAGAACACAGGAACTTGTAACTGTTTATAAAGGATGCATCCGCCCGCCACTGGAATATGCTAACATGGTATGACATTCTTCAGTCACGCCAGTTAGAAACGCTGCAAAAGCGTGCATGTCGGCCAATTCCCGGTAGCGGATTTACATCATATAGTGATGCTTTGCAAGACTGCGCCTTGGAGAACCTTTTTTATCGGAGGGAGGAACATGGTTTGCTGAGAAGCTTCCTAAGTCATCTCGTACTAGAGATCTCCTCCCCCTACCAGACTTGATACTCATTCTCACTGTCTTCGAAATTCTCATATTCTTTCTATAAATTGCATGCAAGGACCACTCGGTTTAAAAAAAGCCCTATTCCATATTTTATTAATTTATTAAACAGGTAGATTGTAATTTTTTGCAGGCCGTTAATTTTTTGTCTTTCGTGTTTTGTTTATTTTACATGTACTTATTTCCGTAAGTGTACTTTTGAAATTTTGTCGTTGTCAATGTTCATCAACTTAATGTGAAATCTAAATTGATTGTAACTGTTTACATTTTTTAGTTACCATTTTAGTAACTTATTCGTTAATGTAATGTATTGTAATTTGTTACTGTAATTTGCCCTTTGGTCACGAGTGTACAAATGAATAAACCAAACCAATATGCAGTTATCCAAGCAAGCTGCACACACAGCTCCTGACTAAGAGACTACCGAATAGTAATTCGCCGTCAAATGTACGTATTTTATAAGTTCGTTTCGCGTGGCCTCATGCCAAGGGGCCGGAATTGATTCACAGTCCAGACTGCACGGTTCACAAGGCTGCCATCTGCTGGGAGGCTTATCACTATACATGGTGGCCAACTTCACAGTCAATGTTTTTGTTACTGACTCCGTTGTATCCCTATATACAGTGTCAATAAAAAAGGTAATCCAACTTCAGGGAGTTAATACACCAAGGTTATTTAAGTTGATAAATTACATGTGGTTGACAAATTAAAAGCAACTTCTCGGCTTTCCATTGATATCTTTATTGCCCCTCACTTCGTCCATGCATGACTGAATACATTGTTGATAAAAATTGCAAGTCCAAACCTATTTTTGCTAGTTGATTATGTTAGCTATTCATTTTAAGATGGTGGGTGATAGGTTACGATAGCCTTCTGTCCGAGTAGGGTAATAAGAAGGGCCTAGGTTTAGGATCAGGTAGTTGGAAAGATGGTAAAAATAACAACAGAACAAAACACCGTACGTATACTTGGAGCTTGCATCTAGCTAAACCCTCAAATGGTTGTTCGTTTGTTGGTTTGTCGGGGTGTTTGCTTGTTCGTTGTGGTTTTGTTTTCTTGGTGATATGATATGTTGTGTTTGTTCATTTCCTGTTTTTCTGTCTGCTGTCCTTTTTGGTTTTTGTTTGTTTTTTATTGGGTCTTTTTGTAGCACCAGGAAAGCAACTCAATAGTGATTAAGTTTTTTTTGCAATCTTGCAGGGGTGTTCTTTGTTTTGTGTCTTTGTGGGTGTGGTGTTGTTGCTTGTGATGTTGTTTCTAAGTTTGTCTGTAACTGTATTGTTTTGAGTGTGTGTAGATTCTTAACTAAATATATATTTTGAGTGTATATTATGCATCTTTCAAATTTGTATACTGTGTAAATTTTCTGTGTTTTAATCCTGCAGGTAAATAAATGAAATGAAATGAGAAAATGCAGGAAGCGTTTCCCAGACTGGGAGCCACCAGCAGCCAAAACCATCTGGGCGCGAACATGTTATCCGTATCGACCCGGACAATGACTGACGCGCTGACGTACATATCCGTGAAGAAGCTGCTCTGGAGTTGCCGACAATACCCCATGGACCTGATTCAGTGAGCTGTGAAAGATCGTAGCCGCGTCTGCTGGTAATGGCTCGTACGAGGTGATAAAACATGATGCAAACTGTGGGACAGACACTCCCCCCCGCCCTTGTGTTAGTCATTGGTATACTAGTATTTCAGGAATTGTTTTCAGACATCTAGGGGGATGTAATAAATTAAAATAGGCTAGAGTGTGTAAAGGGACTGGACTTGGGGGGATACCCCACTGTCCAATTTCGTAACTGGTATATTTTGAAATGTGGGCCGAAGGCTTGCTCGCACCTACGGAGCTTAGCTGAGAGTTGATGGTCCCTCTCCATTTCTGCGTCCAGTATTAAACTGAGGGGGCCATACCTTGGAGACCCGAACAAGGCAGCAGATCGCAGCAGCACACAGTATAGGAGAGTCACAAGTTTGGGAATAGCTGCCATGCGGATCGTCAGCGTCAGAATTTGCCTTTTGTGAAATTCAGATCGGTACAGTGACCACTCTTAGTGGCAGCCATCGGACGGTTGTCGGGACTTGGGCTGAACTGAGGGCGGGGCGCTGGGCGTTGAAATGGGATGTTGGACTGGATATCCCGTGCGTACTATCCCATGCAAAATGCTGACATTAGGAGAAAAGCAGCGAAGAAAGTTCTCATAAATACAGAGGTCCGTGCCATAGTGATGTTTAAGTATCAGCACAGTTGAGTGACCCTGCACTGCCACACGTCGTACGCGTAATGAACACTGTAGATTAGCTACAAGCATGACAAGATCGATACAAATGGATATACACGGTGTCCACATAAAAATATACCTAGATAAAAATTACTGTAATGGCAAAACTACTTTATATATTGGAAAGAGAAATCTATCTCAAGAAAGGGCAGAATGTCCTCTTTGCAATGTCATACAGCTTGTGATGTTATTGACACAGATGAGTGAACAAACTAGACAGATGTTGAGGTTACTGAAATCGGCACTGTGACAAGTTTGCATATTTGATTAACAAAGCTAGACCATGCAAGTGTGCAGAATACTATAATGGAAATAACTCTCATCCAGGGTTGCTTTTCTAATGTATGAATGTACTTTAACTATGCGTGGGTCTGGGAGTGTTAGAG